CCACCCAGCCACCACACCACCACCACACCACCATTGGACGCTCACATGCAAGTCGTGCAAGGCAAGGGCTGTTGCCAGGTTGATCATCTCTCTGTTGTGTTCTTGGCAGGTACTGGGCAGCCGCCGAGCGGCTGGGTGGCGCCGATGCGGCTGCAGCTGGGGCGGGCGAGCTGGAGCACCTTCGTTCCGTCTACGCTGACATCATTAGCATCATGCAGCAGGCACGACCCCTGCCCAGAACTGCATCGCATTTGGCGCTGATGCTCACAGCCAGCCATTTGGTTGATTTCTGGCTGCAGATCTGCGTCGCTGCGGATGAGGTCGACAGCCCAGGAGCGTCATCTGCACAGCAGCGGTTTGTTGCAGCGCTCCAGGTGTGTGGGGCCCGCGGCTACAGGAATGGCTGCGCTCTTGCATGGCGGCAGTTTGTCTGTCATGGTGTCATCAGCACTGTCTGCCTGCCTCTGTGCTGCGTCTCCGGCGGTGCCTGAATGTAGGCGTCGCTCCAGGCGGCAGCAGCGGCAGGCCTAGACGTTGGCGGCGATGAACAGCGGTGGGAGGGTCCTTGCACTGCCGAGTCGGGGGTCTTGGACCTGGTGCATGACCCCGCCACACGCATGTTCTGGCGCAACGTGAGAGCCCGGGTGAGCAATTAGACGATGAGATTTACCTACTGTTCTTTTGCTGTTGCACTCCTCTGGGTGAAGCATGTGAATGTTTCTCAGCAGATGCCCTCCCGGTGCACATTCCCGCCTGCAGGCTGCCACTCAAAGCCAGGCATCGTCCGCCCACGCCATGCGGCGCTTTGCCAGGCGGGAAGTCCAGACTGACGCAGATGCCAGCCTGGAGGGATCATTGCACCCGACACTAACGCTGCCTAGGCAGCTTACAAAGGTGCCTGTTGTGGACAAGCCGTCTCAGCAACAGCAGCAGCAGCAGAACCAAGAGGCAGTTGCAGCTCCAGCAGGAGCTTGCTTCAGTCCAACGCCTGCTGCAGCCCACACACCAGAGCAGCAGCAGCACGGCAGCCCACCTGTTATTGCTGGCGCAGCAATACAAGCACCAGCTGTGAAGGCTGAGCCTGTGGCATTGCAGCGGCTTCAGTCTGTGCCGGGGCAGCAGTCCATGGATTTGTATGGCGATCTGAGCCTGCAGGCCAGTGGCTCCCGGCAGCTGCACACTGCGGGTAACGTTGGAGCAGCAGCATCGTGGCAGCAACAACACCATCAACAGCCGCCCATTTCCCAGCAGCATGACGATGGGCAAGCAGCCGCTCAGCCTTCTATGCAAGGCAGAACAGCGCAAGTCAGCGCAGCCATAATTCCCCCCCAGCCAAACCATGCTGCACTGGATGCTCCCCCAGCTGAGACAGCACGTCTTCCACTGGACAGCACGGGTTCCGGAAGCGTACAGGGTTTGCTGTCCAACCCAGGAGCCCTGCAAGCTCTGCTTAAGGACCCGGCCCAGCTGCAGCGTCTACTGGAGAAGCATCCCACGCTCATTTCTTTGTTGAAGTCCACCTTGGGCAAGGTGCCTGCCAAATGACAGGATTGGAATGGAAACACTTCTTGCTTCTTTGCAGATTGTAAACATTCCGCTGTGCCGAGCGCCGCGGCAGCGCCGGTGGCCCGGGTAGGGTGGGGCGGATGGTATGGAGTAACGCTGGCTATCGGACTTTTTTACTGATATCGGACTCAACCTCAACATGCCTAAGGTCCCGAGTTCGATTCCGGTGGTCGACAACGGCATATGTGCCTTGCCCCGAGGGCGGCGTGCTTGTTCAGCACGACCTGTGGTGCACTATACCTGCGCCTTGTTGCAAAATAGTGGCTCAACACTGCAAAATAGCCTGCCTGGTCAAATTATGGTCACCAAGGTCAGTCAAATTATGGTCACCAAGGTCAGGTGACGACAGCACACTGCTCCTCAGTAGAACGTGTGCATCGCTGGTTCTGCAGGCGGATCCAAGGGCTCCCACTGCCCCATGTATGACCATCTGCGCTTTGAGTATGCAGATCTCTTCCCCCCTGAGTTGCCCACGTCCATCCCATGCTTTTTGTCCCAAGACCAGAATAGAGTTGCTTCATTTATCAATGACTGCCATGTTTTACGCCGCCGGAATGCGTGTATGAGACTCGCTGGCTCCGAATCCGCTCTGTAAGTCAAGTCAAGTCAAGGCATTGGGTCGGGGAAGCTGACCGTTGGGTTTTGCCAGCTGGCGCGGGTGTGGGCCGCGTGGCTTTCGGTTTGGCCATCTGTCCTTCGGTCTGGCCGCGTCCCACGCGGTGGGTGCTGTAGGTGAGCAGGCTGGACAGGCTGGACAGCTGGCGGGCGCTGGAGCAGCCCAGATGGCCCGCCATCCAACACTCCCACGCAGACTGCTCAACTGCAGGGGGTGATGCCCATCGGTGATGCCCAACACGCCGCGACATCGCCCAAGCCGTGGGAGCTCTCGCCCGCTACATGTCCAAGCCCAGCCTCGCCCACTGGCAGGCAGCCAAGGGCGTGCTGCGCTACCTGGCGGGCACCGCCAACTACGGCATCACCTTTGGCGCTGGCGGCCCCGGGCTGGAGGCCTACTGCGACGCAGACTACGCCGGCGACATCGACACCCGGCGCTCCACCACCGCCTACGTCTTCATCCTCAACGGCGGTGCCATCAGCTGGTCCAGCCGCCTGCAGCAGACCGTGGCGGCCTCCACCACCGAGGCCGAGTACATGGCGGCAGCCGCCGCCATCAAGGAGGCCCTCTGGCTGCGCACCCTGTTGGGCAACCTGGGCCAGCCCATCCAAACCATCCCCATGCTGGCTGATAGCCAGGGCGCCATCAAGCTGCTCAAGAACCCCGTT